GTTGCTTATAAATTGGTTAAACTAATGTATCTTCTACTTTATATGTTTTTAACTCCAAAATTCTTTTGATTTTCATGATGGTTTTGGAACTCGTCACATGTAGTATCTCGTGCTATTACAACTGCTAGGGCTGCATCCCCTGCCGATGTTGCTGGACATCCCCTTGTAAAGGTCTCTTAACAGTTCTGATTGTCTGAACTGAGGACTATTTTTCTTTCTTATTTACTTCTTTTGGAGCAATACCGCCAGCTTACCCCGCTTTGTGCTCCGCATGTATCTCCTTCTTAACTGGCCTTTTATTCTATATATTTCAGTTTCTTGTGGTCTTTCTAATTTTTTCTTACAATAATAGGAGCCTTACAATGTCTCTCAAGAGAGAGAGCGAAAACGTGCACTGTCGATGGTGCTTTCACAGACAAAGCTGCAAGAGCGGAGGGATGCAGAGGTTTGTGCATTCCGTTTACTTATTGTTCTAGTTGATCTCTCTAAATGAATGCCCTCCTTGATAAAAGTTAGACATCATCCCATGCTTAACAGCATGTCTAGTTCTTGAAAAGAGCCTCCTGATCCCATGCGCATAATATTTACTGGTGCCAGTTATTTTTTCAAAATCACTAACCTGCCCTTCATACCTTGGTCTTAGGTTCTTGCCGAAGCAAAACGAATATCAGTTGATCTCTCGTTTACTTATTGTTCTAGTTGATCTCTCTAAATGAATGCCCTCCTTGATAAAAGTTAGACATCATCCCATGTTTAACAGCATGTCTAGTTCTTGAAAAGAGCCTCCTGATCCCATGCGCCTAATATTTACTGGTGCCAGTTATTTTTTCAAAATCACTAATCTGCCCTTCATACCTTGGTCTTAGGTTCTTGCCGAAGCAAAACGAATATCAGTTGCACGAAAATCTGTGAAGGTAAGTGTTATACGGCTCCTTTTACCCACTTTTACTGGGAACATTCTTCAAGGGAAACTATAGTTTCTGAGTGTGCATCACCCTCTTTATGGATTTTTTTGACTAGCCTGTACTAACCAGGTTATTGCATTTTCTCAGGCAGCTGAAGAGACAGAACTTCCAGTTGTGTCTGATGCTGGTCCTGAAGGTGCTGAAAAAGCTGCCGGTATTGATGGAATATCAACCTCCCCAAATGCTCAATTACCCTCTGGGTTTGCTGCACCTCCAGTGTCAGAGACTGCTTCTACTTTGGCTTCTCTTCGCATGGTATGTTTGAGAGTAAGATTTCTAGTGTCCTCTATTCGTGGTTCTATCCTGCTTATAGTAAAAATTCAAAGTTTCTTGAACCTGGGCAATCTAGTCAAACTTTCTTTAATCAGTAGTCTTTTCATAGGTCATGTATGCATTATATTATTAGGATTTTGTTTTAGTCTGAAGTACATGTACTATTTATCTCTTTATAGTGAGTAGAATGTCAAAGTGGAGATGTGAGGTGATTAGGATTTTGGGCACCTGCAGGAAGCTATTTTAGTAAGTATTGGGTCCATATGTTGCTGAACTTTTGTTCCTTCAGCGAAAAAGCTTATCTTTAGAAGGCTCGAGAAGTTCACAGTTTTCCTTGATTTTGGTGATCGAGTAAATGCTTATTGACGTCATAGTCTTCCACTAGGTCAAGGGTTCAAGACTTGTATGAAGAACCCATCAAAATAGAAGGCTCAAGAAGTCCTTTGTTAGCTCAAACAAATTTTGTGTAAAAAGTATGAATGCTTAAAATCATATCCGATAGTATCAAATGTCAATCTTACCAACTGAAAATCTTTCAGCTGCGTGTGTACTTGAGAACATATGCACTAGACCAAATGGTGCAAGCCGCGAGCTCTTCAGCTGGACTTCGGACAATCAAGAGGGTCGAACAAACTTTACAAGATCTTGGGGTTTGTTTCTACTCCCTAATACATTAGTTTTGTAGTTTATTTACTTTGGAACCACTGTGGCATTTATCCTGGCACACTTTTTCAACTTACCATCAAAGGTGCAATATCAGTTGTCTAATCATCTGGGACTTGTGCTGTTGAGGTGCCATGTTACGTGTGGCACAAATTCTATTACATCGTGCAATCTCAGTTATCTAATTATACATACTTGTGCAGTTGCATCTGGCACAATTTCTACTACATTTTCTTCCACCAATTTTGCTGTTCCTTAGCACCTTTCATTTCTTTCTTATACCTCCTGGTTTAACTATCTTATCATATGATAAATATTTGCGCTAAATTGACTGAGAAGAATGTGTTTTTTTTTCATCTGTAGGTTAATTTGAAGCCAAAGGTCCCAACTAAGCTTGTCTGTGCGGAGCATCTTGAACTGAGGAAAGAAATACTAACCCTGTTAAATCTTCAAAAGCAGGTATTTGGCATTTTATATTGAGAGTTCTTTCCATAATTTTCTTGATCATGAGTTGGGTTAAGCTTTAGACTAAGGAAGATTTTAAGATTGAATTTTCAGTACTATTTGACCATCATATCATTTTCTTTCATCTCTGATCAGATGGATTTTCATCTCTACTGTCTTCATCTCTCTCTCTCTCTCTCTCTCTCTCTCTCTCTCTCTCTCTCTCTCTCATTTTGGTTCAACTCCAGTGTACTCATTGTTTCATCTGTGTTTAGAGATGCTTTAGTTGCAAGGTTGAAGCTTCAAGGAATACTGGTTTTCACTTATTCTTTATCAGAAGAGGCTAATGAGTTTCTTTAATACTTTTTGTCTTTAAAATCAGCTACAATACAAGGAGGCAGAAGGCTCATCTTATCGTGAAGGTTCATATTCTGAGACTCCTGGTACACCTCCTAAGGTCGGGATACTGGTTCTAACTCTTTACTGCACCTCTTTCCTTTTTTTTTTAAATAATATTTTTTAGTGTTCTTACGTTTTACGAGATGAATTAGATAAAGATTTATCTTTGTGTTTGCATTTAATGGGGCTGATATCTGCTTGTTGACAGCGTGCACAACAAGACAGAACATTCATCCCCGACTCTACAAGTTTTGGAGGTAAGTGAACGACGGAAGTAATTACTCTGCCTGTTAAAGGTGTACTCCATTATGATCAAACTGTTCTCTCTTTCATTCAAACTCACACGGTATCTTCTGATGCCTATAATTTTCATGTTGTATAGGGGACAGAGTTGGTAAAAGGGACCAGAAACGCAAGGTATGCTACATTAGTGTTTTTAATGAATCTCCAAATTTATCCAAACATTTCTAAAAGTCCACTATTTTAATTTGGGGATCCAGGGGCCTGGGCGATTATCAGAAGTTCCATCTTCGCCAGCACAGTCAAAACGGCCCCGCAAGTTAAAGACTTCAGATGGATGAATGGGAGGGTTAGTACATTTTTCCTCTCAATGCTCTTAATGTGAGTGGTGTATGAGAATTTAGCCATAAGGATGATGTTACAGCTTAAATCTTCTTGCAAGATGCTTAATAGACGATTTGTGTAATTTCTTCTACACCTTACTTTCTAGGTTGTGTACGTCAGAAAGCTACAAGGAGCTGTGGTAAGCTGCTTGAATCAACTTCTGGTGCCACTGTGATGTGTTCTATGTCTATTTGGATTTCCTCCAGCATGAAACGTGATCGAACCTTGCAAATCTCAAATGTGGCTCTCTTTTAAGTGACACAAGAAACGTGAGATGCCCCTATAATGCTTTCTGTGGAGATCAGTCCTCCTTTGCTTCAGAGTACAGTCCACGCAGTCTGTAAATACATCTGTAACTTAAAATTGTGATAAGCATGTTAGCCTCCGCTTTCTACCATATCTGTTTGACATGTCATTAAATTATTGAGCCATGTTGGCTTTTTTTTTTTTTTTGTTTTAAC